AAGCGCGAGGCATTCGTTGTGGGCGGAGCCTGCCCCAAGGTGGGTGGAGCCAAACTTAAATTCGCAAAACGCTTCCAGAGCACTCTAGACACCGGGAAAAAGTAGTTTAAGGTCATCGAGGGGTCATTGGTTGAGAAGCGCGAGGCATTCGTTGTGGGCGGAGCCTGCCCCAAGGTGGGTGGAGCCAAATTTAAAAAATTCGCAAAACGCTTCCAGAGCACTCCAGATTCCAGGAAAAAGTAGTTGCGAGGGGTTATTACTTGATAAAAAGTAGTTGCGAGGCATACATTGTGGGCGGGGCGTGCCCAGAGGTGGGTGGAGCCAAATTTAAAAAATTCGCAAAACGGTTCCAGAGCACTCCAGACACTGGGAAGTAGTTTAAGATCAGCGAGGGGTCACCGGTTCACAAGTGTCAGGCATACCTGTCGTGTGTGGAGCGTGCGTCAAGGTGAGCGGGACCAGCCTTAAAAACTCCTCAAGCGGTTCCAGAGCACTCCAGGCCTCCAGACCTCTATGTGATACGGCCCGGCTTTGCGGGGCGTCGCGCTTACCTGCATTCGTATGATCAAATGCTCGACTAATACCCGGCTTTTCTCTCATCTGCCCACTTCATCAACGCTCCGTGCCACCACTCCATTCACTGTAATAGTGTTGAAAGTAGCAGGTATGATGCTATTGGTCAAGGAATGTTGACCACCTGTTCAGGTTAAAGAAAAGATATTAGGTGGCTAATGAAATGAGTGGAATAAGGCAAGCGCGGCGGAGCCGCGCCTGCTCGACGAAGCCGTGCTGTATCTCAGAAGGAGGCGCGCCGGTGTCAGCCGGCGAAGCCGGCTGGTATATTTGAACCAGGATGTCAACTAAGCGCATACGCAAGTTTTTATCGGCTTTAGTGAAAAAAGATGGTTTCGGGAGCTAGCGCCAAAAAGTAAAGTTATTTTCGTGATGAGGGCCTTTGATCAACGTTTCAGCAAAACAAATATTTGAGTCTCTAGGGTAGGAATACTTCAGTTGTGCATGAAACACAAACGTGAAAGATAGATGTACTGCCGCTGGCCTTCAATGTCTTCACCCCCCCCCCTCCACTTACTACTCGGACTACGTCTTAAAGCGTAGGGTACCGATAGTTCGAAATTACCTTTAATGATGCCAGGCATGTTTCATCGGCTCACTCACGACGAGAGTATTTATGGAGGGCTTTACTTATCGGATTATATTTGGCGTTGCGGCGTTTATCTGGATTCCAATCAACTTCTTCTTCAAAAATTATGAGCGAAGAAAGATTCACGAACCAATTCGGGTAAGATTTGTTTCCTTCTATAACCGATAATCCTTAGCACGACTCCTTGTATTCTGCAATGCGCCATACATCCTCTTTAGGTATTGGAAAGTTTCTGATCATTCGCTTTCTCAGAGGCGTAAAGAACGATAATTTGGTAATTGCTCAAAAATAGTAGTGGGGGTATTATATAGCTGTGAGAACGACGAAAAAGGGAAGTTGAACGGCCAAAAACCTGCGAAAAAAGCCTTCGTTCTGCACGGCATTGGATGAGCATTTTTGGACGAGTTTCCCGTTGGCATCGTGCCAGCAACCGTTCTTGAGAGTTGTGACTGCCCGTATGTATCCATATAACTATGTGGCAACGCTTCATTATCATAATGTTATCTTCCTAAATGATTAGCCATAGACGATATTCCGGGGGCGTCGATGTGACTGTGCGGCCATTTGTGGGTGGGCGGTTGCGGTGGACGTCTATGCACATGTTGCACGCTGTCAGGCTCTGTGAAGGCGCCCCTGGTCTGAAAAGGCACCACGCCGAGCCCCTGCGCAGCGGCATACAACCGCTCCCTCGCTGATGCGGTACTGCATCCTGCACCGGCTTCTGATCCGTCGTGGCCACGTCCACTCTCTAACCGAAAAGTCTGGATTTGTGCGAGATAGTTGCGCACTAGTAGAAACTGCACCTTATTTTACAGATGATGTTCCGCCCTCGGAAAGACTGGGGACCAGCGAATCCAACAGATCGTGAGGAAGCAAAGCAAATGGAGCGTGCTCTACGGGTTCTATTGAGGCAGTATGATGTGATCAAGCTGCTATGGCACCATTTACTTCCAAAACAATAGAACTCCGGTAGATTGCAAACGCAAAATATTTAATGAAAAAAATTTGCTTTGTGGATATTATACTTTGTGCGTTTTGCGTGAATCTGTCATCTCGCAAATCCTCTGCCATTCTTTCTCTCGGTTGGCACAGCGCGTCGGAGCCGCGCTGCCACTCGCATCTGAACGCTGCCTAAGCTTCAGTAAATTCCAAATCGCCTCCGAAATAATAAAGGCCCGGTCTTGTTTGCTGCGGTTAGTATGAGGCGGTGTCAGGGGCGAGCATGATTAGCTCGCTTAATCATTAAGGCTGTTGCGCCTCTTTAAGCAAGCGTTCTGTACTTCCGACGACAGCAGCGGCGGATCGAGGGCGACTGCCGCGATCTGCGCTGAACGCTTGCTTTAAGAAGCCGATCCCGGGTATCGTGGGTGAGATGCGCGCCCAAGGCTGTTATTGTGGGACTGCTCCGCTTTATACGAATAAGGAAATCCAACACTTAGTGAGAAGACCTTCATTTCTCATAATAATGCGGCCTTACTAAATGTGTAAATTACGACTTCTCTATACATGAGCGGATCTGGAATTATGCATAGGTAAGGAGCGTTTCACTTGCTCATTTAGAGTCAGGATGAGGCCAACCCAAATTTTCTGGGATCGAGCTCCTCCTTTCTGCTTCTTTCTGTTTATTTTACTGTTTCAATCCTTACTGCAGGTGCCTTGAACAATTCCTTATCGTCACAGTTTCGCAATTTTCTAAAACACTTTATCTGTTTCACAAAGTCGAGTTTGAAAACAGCGAAGAAAAAAAGAAACAGAAACTCACCTAGGAACCAAAACACTAATCATTTTACGCAACATCAACAGGTGAAAACGTTATAACCTCATGTATAAGCTCGACGAATGAAAAAAGAATAAAAACCTACCCTAAATGAAGCTCTCACGCTTTTTGCTCATTTCTATCCTGAATCAAGAAAGAAAATAGAAAACAAAAGCCATTAAGTTGGGTTCACCTTTCTTTGTGTCAAACCAAGCTTCAGTATCCTAAGAAAATTGCAGTTAAAGGAAAAAAGCATGAAATTGAGTCGCTTCTTCCCAAAAGCCTTCGGAGCGCAAGTAATAGCGTTGGGGCGCGCTCTGCCATGTACCGACGATCGCGATCGCCGCGATCGCCGCGATCGCCGCTGCTGTCGCGAAGTATGAACGCTGCCTTACCTCAATCTAGTTGACGCTTTTGAAGCAGCGGTCTCCCACACTTCTTTTCTTTTAATTTAAAAGTGTTCGTCTAAGGACAAAGCATACATTAAATGCACTGGTGTAAATGGTGAGAACAATTGTTGTTGTTTCCCAATGTACTTGAAAACGAACTGCCAAAGCCAGCCCCACTATACGCCTGAGCGTCCGCAGCGAAGATTTTACCCACGAAATTGGTTTCATGTAGCGCTTGCTCTCATCCGATGCTGAACGATGGAAGCGGTTCACCTGCTCATTCTTCAAGGTTTATTTACTACACAAATTTTCACCTTTGCAGCAGCCAAAACAATTTTTCATAAGCAGCCGCCACAGTCACACTACGACAACTGACTCATTTCTGAACTAGAATAGCATGCTGGTCTGAGAGGAAGCACCTGTTCTTCCGTATAGAAGGTCGTGTTTACATGAAAGAGATGAAATGTGCAGGTGAGACCCTTGGCGACCGAACAATTAG